GGACTATAGTCACTAGTTTTACCAGCATGGATGCATTGAATACTTAATTTACCTTTCTAAAAAACTGTCGAATATCCATGCTGTCGACTCAACCTGACTTTCGGTAATGAACTGTCAGTTGTTGCGTTAGCATTTGATGTGGCAATGGTGACAGACACGTCAAATGCTAATGCAACACCTGTTGCGTTCAGGAAACCTGGGAGATTTAACATTACAATAATGGCAGGGTATCGAAATATAATTTAAAATGGCCACATTACATTGATTTTGATGCAATATATTAGCAAAAGTACAGGAAAAATAAATAATACTTTTTTTTAAATAATGCAATGAAATTATTTAGGGGGGCTAAAGACATTTTTAGGGAGGCTGAAGCCTCCCTAAAATAGGCCTAATGACGCCCATGACAGTGGCACTTACAATATGCCCTCTTGGCAGTTCACTTCATTTCAAATGGAGACATTAATTTAATATACGATATGTGTTCTACTCTGTGGGATATTCGTCAGTCCATTTGTCTCATGTGGTTTGCATCCATGTCCCTTCTCCTGAATCTTCTCAGGTGTTTACGCAGCCCGATTCCAACCAGGAAGCTGGGCAGATAGCACCGCCTGTCGTCATCACTGTAAACTCACTCACTCGCACCATGCTGCTGCAGCTCAGGCACTTCTTAAATCATCACTCGGTGGATTTTTCCCTGTCTCCTCCCAAGGCTCCCAGTGTCAGTCGCAGTGGTAGGATGAACCTCTTTTCCCTCATGCAGTCCATTAGTGAACTCGATGATGTGGATAAAGGATGCAGTCAGGTAAATGGCTTTGTCGAGCTGGTTTGCGTCATGTTCACGCGACATCGGGCTGCTGTGCAAATGCGCCTCGGGAGGTTTCGTTTTAGTTCATGCACACAGCGAAAAACGTAGCACCTTCTTTACGCGAAACAAGAGTTATGTATTTATAGACAAGGGGACAAAAGGAAGACTGGAAAGACACTCCGTACAGCGTAGACCCCCATCAGAAGGGTTGACAATTCTAATTTGAAATGGAATCTTGTACACCAGCACTTGTCTACCTGCTGCATACAGCTGAATTTTGTCATTTGGACCCAAACATTATTCATTGTTGACAAAGACAAACATTGAACTTTTTTTTGTTTTTAATAAAGGTAGTTTGCACCCATATGATATATATTTGTATCTTGGGACAAAAATATGTAATGTGCAATTACTAAACGTTCTTCAGTTCAATTTTTGAATTAGTATCGTCCTTGAATGAATCTGTGGGTTCTTCTCCTGCACCCAAATTTCGCAGAAATTGGTGAGGTGTTGTTTTTTTTCCCCCCCCCAGGGTATTTCTTGCTGAATGCCAAACAACCAAACTATAGTGGCACTTGGTGAAGTAGAGACTGTTCCCAAAGCTTAAAAGTTACATTAATCCTTGAGTTATTTGCATTATCTACCATCTAAGATAAATATGTTAAATTGTTACTATAAATGGGAGGGTTATTGTTGGATCACACCATAATGGAGATGGATGGATGGATGGATGGATGGATGGATGGATGGATAGATAGATAGATAGATAGATAGATAGATAGATAGATAGATAGATAGATAGATAGATAGATAGATAGATAGATAGATAGATAGATAGATTAAAAACAAGCGCAGCATGAACAGAGGAATGAAAGGAGAAGTCATCTTAAAAATTGTCTTGACAAGAATCTATTTTTCCTTTGAAGGAAATTCAGTGAGGAGGGTGTACACCTTTAACTGATGTAAACATCTGTCCATATATGTGATATGGTTGCATTACAATTGAAGAGTCATAAAAGACAACTTTAGTTGCGCAATACAGTCGAGTATTCTACCAACACATTTGAACAATGACTGAAAATACTCGATAGATCGATAGTATAACATTCCGCAGCTCCTCCTAACCTGTGATATGCACACAAATCTCACATGACTCCTCATACAATCTCCATCCTTCCTTGTCAAAGCTGCCTGCCAGTCCGCGACGATCGCCGCACCAACGGAGGCGGAGCCACAGCCGAAAGGGTTTGATTCACCAGAGTGCCTGTGTGGATTTCTCGCCCGAACCACGGAGTCTACCGGACGCGGCCCACGACAAACCTTGAAGAAGTCAGAGGAAAGAAGAGAACTTTTTTGTTTTAGAACCCGAAGGAACAGGACTTCTTTTTACGTATCCATGTTGTGCCATTGAACCAATGTTTCACTGCTGATGCAAAGTTGTTGTTGTACTGCTGCAGTGTTTGAGCGACTGGCTCAGGCTCGTCTGTTTAGTCCAGCGTCCTGTGTTTCAACATTTCAACACTCCAGATGTCAACTATGCAACTTTAATTTTTTTTACATGCTGCCAATTGAAGGATTTGTCCGATCAGAAGAGTCACATGACTCACAAATTCTCACTGAAGGTTTTGCTAGTTTCTAAGCTGTATTTTCTGGACCAAGTTAGGGCCAGTTTTATGCTGCCCACCTCATTATCAGTAAGTCTGTATTCCAATGTGCCAACGAATATGTCAAATTGATTATTTTTATCACTATTTCAAACCAATGTCATATGTATTTTATGTTATTACAGCTGTATGAGTGCCTTCTAGCAGTGAATGACGATATTGTGTTTATAGACCACTGTATGTTTCTACTGTTGTCACATGCTTGGAATGTACCATCCCGGGTTTTCGCATGTTGTTGCACGGATAATTACCTGCTGATGTTTTGTACCAACCGGTGAAATTTTTCATTCAGGTGTTCAATCTTGTGTATTTATGTTTTGCTTTCTTATTCCAAATCCTGTTTGTGGGATTTCCGGATACTGATTGGATTGTTTTTCCGTCACTAACAGCTCATCCTTTAACATGCACGCATGTTATTATTCAACACGTCAGACAGCCTGAGCCAACTTTAAGCTGCATTATGTTGAATACTGTTTTATAAGCACTGTTCACTTCTTCTGCTGTGTTTCACTCCACTGTATGCAGCTCACGTGTGTTTATAAGCACAGCAAAATAAAAACCAACCAACAATTGTTTGTTTCCATTCATTCATTGGGGTAGCACGGTGCACTCAGTTCCGAGGTTCGAATCTCAGTTCTGGTATTGGAATGTGGATGTTTCCCCTGTGTTTGTGTTGAGCTTTCTTCCACATCATGAAAGGTTATGTCAAGCCCAAAGAACATGGTCCAACAATGTACCTGTTCATCATCAGTAATTAATCATAATCAAAAGCAAGAATAATTATGTAATATTAATAGGGTCCCCACACACATCATATCAAGTACAGGACAAGTAGTGTAGTGGGAATACCTCTGGCACTCATCACTAGTTTGCTAGATAAACAAACAGTGTAGCTTGGCTTATGGCTAGGCTAATGATGTGTTTGGCGGAAAGTCTTAACTCCTTTCCAAAGATAAACAAGGAATGGGAGTATTTGCAGTGCAGCATGAGAAGAAATTCAACCTCAGTTTAAACAACTTTGCCCAGGCTTCTCAGATGGAACCAAAGCAAAAATAAATGTCATTATTGGTGCATTTCTAGTACCATTCCTACCATTCAAACTATAGTGCCACAACAAAAGTGCTGTTGACAGACTTTGATCCAAAGAGACTGTAAAGTGCTGTAATAAAAGCTAACTAAGTCTCAGTTTGAAGGTGTCCGTGTTTATTGACAAGAACGATAAACTGCTGTCTTCCAATTCCTTATTACAGTATTTGAAAGGATTTATCTGTCTAATGCATCGCGATAACCTGGGATTTGAACAAGGGTGTGTCAACTTTATATCCTGTGTATGTGGTTACAACCATAGGTGTGAATGGCTGTTTATGTGCCTTGCAATTGACTGAATGAGGACAGGCATCACAGAAAATAGGCAGATAGGTGAATATTCAAATTGGTAACAGTTTATTGACAAGAACGGTAAAACAGCACAATGTGAGTCATTGTATTGTCATGGTGCCATTTTAACACAAGAAAAAACATTTAGAATCCTATATATTTCCTTCTGGGTTCACTGAGGATGATTCCTCCATCTTTCATTGCTGCCCGGAAAGACTGAACCTGTACAAGACAATTATGACGCGTCAAGAGCGATTTAGGTGAAACGTCTCCAGGCAGAGTTCTGCAGCACTTACAGCATCCGAGCGATACGTCCAGGGAATGGCCCTGTACACCATCCTGGTGATGCCGGCCTGCTTGCATCGATGGGCCAGCACCTCGCCCACAGCCTGGCATGCCGCCACACAATTTGTGGAGGGCAGCTCTCTTTTCAGCGCCCACTCTTTGGTCGAGCACGAGAGCACCGGGTCGGGTGAAGAGGAAGAGAAGACCTGAGCCGTCACATATTTCTGACTGCGGGAAAATATCAATCTGAGGGAGGAGGCAGGGGTTGCGGGCGTTAGGGGAATTCCTTGACAATTACTACCTTCTCATTTTTCTGAGCTCAGACCCCATCTTGTGGTATTTTAGAATCACAGAGCACAAAAAGCCACAGGGGAAGAATGAGTTGTGAGTTGCGAATGTGCGAGGGAATCAAATCGGGTCCAAATCAGACCTGTGGTAGAACTCGCGGTGAGGCCATGTCGTCTTCCAGCCCCGGTCTTTCACCGCCAGGGCCATTCGCTCAAGGCTCCGCGGGTTTCGATTCTTAAAAGTCGGTTTTACTGACTCGTTTTCTACCGAGCAGGGCTCCGGCTGAGTCGCCGACTGGGTCATACACCGACCTGCTTTCCAAACAAACATTGAAACGCTCTTACATGCGAAATAAGGAAATGCAGTGGTTCTATATATCAAAATGTGCGTTGGAAATGTCACTTAAGTCGAGACAAATCAATCAAATGTTATAGGACTTTACCTGGGAAGCTTGTGGCCACAGCACATCGCTGAATTTGACCCAAGAGCAGACAAACGCCTCGATTCATGTGGCTCAACGACATTTTCGTCACAAACATACTCAAGCCACATATGGAAATGTGTTATAATTCAAGTGATCAACGCGCACACAGGAATAAAAAAGGACGAGCTACGCATATTTTTTTGCTCATTGAAATCCGTGAGTGACCAACAGCGCCATGTTTGACATTCACGTTAGATCCGGGTACGTGATTTAAAGTAGGAACTGAAAGAAACAAACAGAGAATCGAAAGTTCCGCTCTGAAATCAATGATTGCTACAAAATACGTTTCGAGGTTACGGACCGCACATTTACAGATATTAATTTGTTTTGTATTCAAAGAATATATATTTTTATGTAAGGCCTCGAAGTAATGATGACATTTACTGTAATAATAGCTTTACCGCTGCGTTAGTACCAGTTCAGTGTGTATACTGTACCGACTACTGCTCGTAGACAGCTGGGATAAGCTGCAGCACGCCCGCGACCCTGTTCGGGGTAACCCTTGTTGAAACTGGATGGATGGCAAATTGGCAATGCGTGAGTTTGCGTGGTTAAGGTCCGCTCTGACTCGCGTCACCACCGTAGGAACGGAGCTCCATCAGAAACCGAGGACCCCCATATGCATATGTAATAATGAATCACGTTGTGCTATGAATAAAACAATAAAAAATGACTATATTACTATTGCCATTTAGAAAATATCTGATTCGGATGTAACACTGCTGTAGGTTCATTTTTTTTAAATGACGAATCCCTTTAAAAGTAAAGGTGAAATGTTTTTACACTTAATTTGTATTGAATGACTGCTCACAAGAACACAAGAAAATTATTTGATTTCCGTCAACATTTTATCACTTTGACAGTGCACAAGAAATGGGGAAAAAACATGTCCTCAATGGTCCAAAACATCTGCATGGTAAAGTGGTCCCAACAACTTAATGACTGACACAAACCGTCTTATTAAGGCACAAGAGAGAACTGTTACTAGCGTTTAAAGATTCAATTGTTTGAGACTTTCGTGTACGCAAGCGACACGGCATTGTGGAAAAGATGTATTAGCAGATGAGTCAGAGAATTCCCTGCTAACATTTGGTAAATTCAACAGACCTGGATAAATTAAAGTTCAACCCACCAATTCAACATGCATTTCCCTAAATGTCCCTTTAAAATGTGAAAATTATTGTAAATGTCACAGTGAAAAGTATCAATAATTAAGCATTTCTTTAGCAATTAATAATTACAGTAAATTTATACAACACTGAGTGAATAAAATTTGAAAAGGGAATAGTAAAGTATCTATATTTTTTATATATTGCAACTAATTCTTGGATATCATTCTCATGATGCCCTCGCAGTCCATACCATCATGTTCATTGTGCAATTAAACTGTTACATAGCCTCAGTCCACAGAACACTGTTGGGTTAGTCTGCTGCAGTCCAAGATGTCGATGAGGTAAATAAACGAATAAAGTTGCAATTTCAGTGAATTCTTTGGCCAGGATGATGATCATATGGCAGGTGAAGCATTGATCAGAGATGAGAAAGAGAACGGGTGCAGCTTGTAGCCTGAGCCACTGTAGAACTTGTTCTGGAACTCCACCCTGGAAGAAAAACATTCAATGTGCACATTTTAAAAACTACCTGTTTACCACAGAATGTTATGCAGCTCTGTTTTTGACACATATGAACAGCATAAAAGCTAAAAGTTTCTGTTCTTCATTTATTCTTTTAACCATGTTGTGAGCAAGCTGGAAATGCTGCACTCATGCAGGGATCTCAGATCTATGTGATACAGAAATCCTATCAGAGCTTTTCATTTACCCAAACCTAAGATAGGGAGGAGTAATTAGTCTAGTATGCTTGCGTTATGTATTTTGCTGACACCTAATTTACAGCTTGCAACCTCCAGTTTGAGAACCATTGACTTAGCATGCCAAATAAACGATTCAGACTCCCCTGCAAGACACACACACACCAAAAAATTGGGACTGAAAAAAGTGATTTACCAGTGCAGACGGAGCGCGTGCAGGAAAGCTGAGAGCCCCTCCATAATTAGCAGGATGGAGATGGTCAACAACGCAAAAAAGGCAAAGACTACAAAGAGAACTGCAGAGCCCACGTAGCCCTGCCACCTCAGGGCAACCCGCATCACCATCACCCACAACACCTCTGACAGCTCTGTGGAGATAAACAACCTCAGTCAGCTGGTTTTCAGTGCTTGGAAATTCCAAGTCATGCGTGGCTGAATAATTTCCTGACAATAGAATGGAAAGAGTGTCCGTTTAAGAGGAAGGAAGTCTGTGCGGGTGTGTGAGTGTCCATGTGCCATGTGAGCGCGACTCAGTCCGGATGCTACGAACGTACGTGCGTGCGCCAGGCTGAGGGCCCAGAGTCGCAGGTAGGAGGCGGTGTTGGAAATACAGCCCAGGCAGTACTCGATGGTGTGGATGGCCTGATGCATGAACACGTCAGCAGCATCAAAGTCCTATGGATAAAACAACAAATGTTCGGCGACGGCTTCATTCTGCCAGCAGGACCAACATTAAAAAAACAGCATCGTACGCAAAGAAGACAGGAGATTTTTTTCCCTAAAAAGTTGTCATTATTGTTGGAAGACACTGTCGTATTTTGCACAAAACCCAATTAGAATTGTTCAGCCCTATTAGAAATTGTACTGTACCTAAATAAATATTTTAGAATAAACAGTTCTGAAATACTCTATGCAAATGTACTTATAATAATTAAATATAATAATTGTATTCAAATGTATTTCACATAATTGTTGAAATTGTACCAACATAATTGCTTGAAAACAAACAGTTCTAAAAGATGAAATACAACTGTAGTGTACTTTGAACAGGAACTGTCAAATGTTCTGTGTTGGATTAAAAATAAAGAAGTTCTGCCCGCACCTCCTCCCCAGCAGACCCTCCTCCGCCTACGTCGCCGACCCCGTGTCGGGCGTTGATGGCGCATTCGTCAACCACGAGCGGGCACCTGTCTTCTTGCAAATGCTGTAGCAAACGGAAACGCTTTCATAAAATGGACCCAGCTGAAGTCGAGGGGTTCAAGTTGGAGGTAGACGCACTCACCAACTGATGGCTTCTCCCCTTGTGTGTCAAGTATTCCTGTAGTGGTTTCCCGAGCAAAAGGACGGGAACGGAGCAGAGCGCCAGCACAACCAGCACTTTCTGTGCGATACCCTGCGCGAATGAACAGAATGATCTCCTTAGTGGTTACCTTTCAGCAACTTGGTTGGGGGTAGATTTTTATTTTTATTATTATTATTATTACCAACCCTAAATTGCTGTAAATTGGGAATTTCTCCATTGTGAGACGAATAAAGATTTTATTCTTCTTATTATTCTTAAAAAGGCAATACAGTATTTGGGATACTCTACTGTTCTGTAGGCTGCGTGACATGCTCCCCCGCCCCCACTCCCAAAAAAAAGGAAAGCTTGACAGAGCAGACAGGAATTATTTTAAGTAGCACACACACCTGTCCCATATATAGTGGTGGGTTGTCTTCATTTTCTGTGAAGAGGAACATGTCTATAAAATGGATGAGTATACTGGGGGCCACTTTGGACTGGGCGGGAGTGTAAGCGATCCACTTGAAGACCACCATGAAGACAAGGTATCCGAACAGACACAACATGAATAGCAGCTCTGGGATCAGCACCAGGAACACGCTGCTTAACTTGCCAAAGTGCCTGGAAGCACAACGTCATTTAGAAGTCAACAGGGTCAACATATGCGAGAAGGAAACAGAACTTGCTGGGATGCTGGATGGCGACTTACACGTAGTTGAAGAAGGACAGACAAACTCCAAAAGTCATGTGGATAACGCCGATAATAACAGACATCTTCATCTTGTAGGAGTTGAGGAAGGTTAGCTTGTTATTGGCCAAACCCCAAATCTGACCATGAAACAACCGAAAACAAAGTCAAGTGAGTGAAAACCTGAGGGAAAGAGACACTAACTGCAAATTAGTTTGACAGTCATACCGGGTCAATGCCAAATGGATAAGGACTGGTAAAGACACCGGGCACAACAGGATCCATTGACAAAAACTTGCTTCCTGCCAGGACGGATGCACTACAGAGAGCGCAGCAAATATAAACGATGCAGGAAAACAGAACGTTTAAACTAGAATTAAAAAAAAAAAAAAAAAAAAGAACTCACTTCCAAATGTTTTTCTCAAACATCGGACCGACGTGCCATCCTGAGCTGAAGATGTTGAGGCCCCGACTGAAGCACTCGTTGTAAATGGCTCCCGTGTAGATGGAGAACAGTCCCATCAGCAGAATCAGATATCGACCGCCAAACATCATCTTCCAGATCTGAAAACCGCAAAAAGTCACCTTTGTTGCACAGGAAAAAAAAACTAATTACGGTACACTAGAATTATGGTGAGCAAGAGTTTCAGATTCAACAGCGTGCAATCTGACAGGAGTCAGGCACTAGAGGGCAATGAAAAGTATGACCCACAATTCCCTTCTCGCTCCCACTCGACGGAGTTAACAAACACACCACACTTGATTGATTAGCCAGTCAACCCTCGCCGCTTCACAAATTCACCAACTCGGGAAATTTTCTGCAGGACAAAAGTCAAACATTTCACACCTCTCCACATATTTTGTGCTCTTTCTTTAATGAACTCCCCAAGATGGAACCCAAACAACCTGCTTCTTCTGAGACTTTCAGCAAACAGCATAAATGCCAGAAGGTTCTGACGGACTGGGAGAAGGTAAAGCACCTGAATATGCTCAAACAACGCAGGAAAGTTACGCTGCGGTATCCAGCCATGATGGGGAGAACAAGAGCACCGCATGGCACACAAAGAAGAACGTCACTTTAAACTCATCGTTAATAGTTGTCACAGGAAGTAGACTGTATTTCTAGGGGTCCCTTGATTTTGCCTTCCTCCTTTATTTTTTGGTGAGAATTGTTGGGGTATAATTTATGTGCTTAGCTGTAAACCATTTACAGTCTTGTTCAGGGGAATGTTCGAAAATGATTTTTAAATTATATTATGAGAATATTCTGGGGTTTATTCAACTCCAATTTTAGCTTGCAACAATAAATCGACCAAGCAAATGATCATCACTCCAAAAACTTGAGCGTACCTCATTATTGCTTCTTCTCAGCTTGGGGTCTTTCTCCTCGAGAACCATCCAAAGCCCAGCCAGAGTCATCAGCACACCATGACCCACATCCCCGAACATGACCGCAAACAGGAAGGGGAATGTAATTATGGTGTACACGGCTATGGAGACATAAGAAAGATGAAATATGAGAATGGCTGAGAAATGACAGGCCAGTGCTTGAGAATGGGTTCATGGTGACGTACCTGGATTGACTTCCCGGTAGCTCGCCACTCCGTAGGCATCCACGATGTTCTGGAAACCAGCGGTGAAAGAGTTGAGAGGAAACAGGGTCGGCGGAGAGGTAGATGAAGGCAAGCGGTTGTAGAAGGAGTCGACACCACTGCCGCTTTTCCTCTGAAGACGACAAAGACGCCGGATTAAGATCAGCGTTCATCTGTTGAGGGGCGGCGGGTTTGGACTGCTGACTCACCCCTCCCTCTCTCAGGGCGCTCTGCAGCTCGGGCAGCTTGGCGACGGGACACCACGCTTCGGCGATCAGGCACTTGTCGGTGACGGAGGGACTGCAGAGGTTCAGGACCATTTGGACCGCCTTGCACTTCTGGACGCGCACCTTCCACTGGGGCAGCACGGCCACCGCCCGCATGAGGAGCTGCTGCAGGAAGGCCTCGGTCTGAGACAACACCTTTGGGAAGAAAACAACCAAGTTCAAACACTTCCAGGGCACTAGCTACTCTTGTTCTCCTCTCAGCTAATATCAGTGCTTTGTGAAATCAGTCATAAAAATCGACACGAGGTTAAATATGTTGTTGGAATTTTTGATCAATCTGCTTGATTTTTTTAACATCAAGGTGATTTCATTTCATTTGTCTGGGACAAGAAATTTACTCAGATATACTGTATATTGTATTTAAACTGATGTCCACTTTCTTGGGTCACCCTGTATTATTATTGGAACAGAGGCCTGACACGTACAGATTTGATATCTTCAATCCTGCCTTGAAGTCCCTGGAGAATCTCCTCTCTTTCAGCTGTGTTCTCAGGATATGCAAATGTCTGTGTGCGAAAGCTGCCGCAAAAGGGAAACTAGATGAGTAACAAACAGGCTCCCAGCGGCAGATGGCAAAAAGCAAAGATACCGATTTACCGACCAGTCGCAAATCTTCTTCACTTTCTGTCCTATCTGATCCCCCCAGTACGAAATGAGGAACACCGTCCACTGCACCATCTCTCCCTGCAAATGACAGCAAATCCCGTAAGAACACCAAGTCATAGATGAATGTGGTTCACCGTATCCCAGCTCCTACCGTGTCCGGGTGCTCGAGACGATCCTCCATCTCTCGGAAATCCACAATGATGTAACCACGGCACGCTCGCCACAGCAGCCGCTCAAATGAGGGCACCCTCCAGGGATGGACCACTCCCGCTACAAAACTGAAAGAGATGACAACCATTACCAGACGATGCAATACACCAGCCTGTTGTTTATTGACCATAAATCAAGCAAATCATTTCCAATCTATTTCGTTCTTTATTATGACTTCAAATTAGCCCTGTCGCGGGGTGCTGTCTCAGTGCGGCCCGGTTATTGGCTGGGGACCAATGCTTTATGCTATTAAGACATGATGACGTACCTCAGGCGTACATCACGATGGTTGTCAAACAGACTTTGGTTTTCCAGGATAGATGGGGGTGCCTGAGAGAAATGACCATGAGTTAGTGGAGCATGTGATTTAACAATGATGACGGAGGCAAAAGGTGACGCTGTGATCACCTGCGAGGCTGTAAGAGAGTGCGTTCTGGTCAGCACTCCTCTGTACTGGCACAGCTGGGTCAGCTGAGCGCGAAGACTGTCTCTGTTCCTGGACACCTGGTTACAGCAATTAAAGACTCTGATTTTTCTGATTTTTTTTCTTGTTGATATGGAAAAAAAAAAGTATGGTCAAATGTTTCAGAAGACCTCTCGGAGCTCTCTGGCCAGCCTCTCGCTCTCCTCCTCGATGGTGATGAGCTCACGGGGCTGGGGGGCAGAAGGCGACGGACAAGGAGGGGGAAGGGGGCCGTTCAAAGGAGGGGATATGGATCGATTGATCTCCTGCTCCAGGAATGCTGAAGGGCAAACAAAATGGATCAGATCAGATTGGACAGCAAATACGAACAATCTTTACAGTCTGCTGGCCTCAACACTAGGTAGCATAATTTGACTTTTTTTTTGTTATGCCAAGCTAATCTGCCTATGGCCTTTTACAATCATTAGTGCTGCATGATCTTACTTGAACTACCTTTATTAGTAATGAGAATGTTTTTTTTCTCATCCTCACAAGACCGGACCGAAGGCCCACAATGGCGTTAGCATTTTTCCATCCTCTGATTGCTTGGTTTGAGCAACATTTGTTACAGCCAACTTCGATGAGCAGAACATATCTGTAGCGACGTGTACGCATTCAAACATGTTTTATAATTAGCATCTCTGGTCAGTGTGATGTATTTTATTACAATGTTTCATGCTATTGTCACGTTATTAGAAAAATACTGCTTCTGAATTGCTCCATATGAAGTGGCACAGTTGTGTGATGTTACATTGCGTCTTTGTTTAGTATTGATGGTTTCTTAATTGCAACGTGATCGTGGAGGTATTAATAGGTAGATTTGGTCAGACATTTCCCTACTGAAGGCACACCTTCCAAATGCATGGCCGGCCACCACAATCTAGTAAGATCCAGTAAAGGAATTGTAGCAGCCTCAAGTTATTCGTGTCTACGTTAAAAACAGAACGTGCAAATACTTACAAAATGTTTTCTCAAGCTCCTCGCATCGTCTCACCTCACCAACAAATTTCCTCTGAAAGGCGTTCACATTAGGATTTAACTAAAACATCAAGAGAGGAAAGAGGAAGTAAGGGTTAAGTCACTCAGCTGATCACAAATGGAAGAAGAAAATATAACTGCTTGGTGACTAAAAGCCAACATCTTGGAATTTACACATAATGGAGTGTAGAAAAAAGATGAACAATGCATTGTGACTTGTGAGGGCCCAATTTGATAACTTATCAAAGCGAACAACTTTGAAGCTGATTGTGTGTTTCCAGGATGAAATCAATAGGGGAGAACTGTGACACATGGACAGAAAATTGAAATTAGTCTGTGCAATGCATGACAGTTTATGAGGCTAGCTGGAGGATTCTCATCTCCCTGAACCGTAAAGACCGTGCAGAGTGTGGCTCACATCTCTGAACTCGACCAGGCCCAGCTCCCCCAACTCGCTGACACAGTTGTAGGCTGAACCAGACTGGAGGAAGAGCTGCACCAGACACACCTCCTCGCTTCGAAACATGGCACCCATGGCTGCCTGCAGGTCAGGTCAGGTCAGGTCAGGTCAGGTCAATCACACACAATCACATGATCCAAAAAGCTTGACAGAAGCTATTTGAGGTACCACAGAGTGCGGCCATAAATAGTAAGGGAAACGATATGTATTTTTGAAAGGTATTTCTAACTATTGTGTGAAGTGATAAAATACAAATACTTTGTTACTGTACCGTTTTCCTCTGAGTACGTGCACCCTGTACGTGGATAAAAGAGACGCTTGTGTACAGTTTTTCCCCAGTCTTCCTTATTCATCAAAACAAAAATTGTATGTAATAGAATTTAAAAAAAAAACTTTTGCACATAACTACATTTTAGAATATATATATATATATATATATATATATATATATATATATTCATACACACACATACAAACACACACACACACACATACACCGATCGTCTGTTTTTAATTAAGTATCCGCACTTAAATTTAAATACTGCGTGCAAGTACTTTAACCACTTTTTTAAAGCATCATTTCAGAACTAAAGCTTCTCTGTTAACAGACATAATTTAATCGAATGTCAAAGGGGAAGCACGATCCCCTGAAAGTTCCCCTTAGTGTAATCAGAATTTTCCACTGGTGAATAAAGAGCTGGATGAGCTGTCTGGAATCTATAAAAACTGAAACTCGGCGAGGAATTCAACTAACTAATTAACCTGACTTTCTGGTGTTTATGAGAGTGTCAAAGTTGTTGTGTGCCAAGTTAAAACATTTGAGGCTGCTTTGCTTTGAATCGGAAGGATGATCAAGTTAGCAAAGCTTGGATTCCATTGAAAAGTCGAGTGCAGCGATTTTCTAGGATTGTAGTTTTAAGATTGTTTTTGTCCTTACTGACAAAAGTGTGAAAGTAACTGATGGCGGTCCCAATGTTACGCAAGATAGATTTTCATTTTATTGGGGAAAAAAAACTAAAAACTCTTCTGTCACCCGTCATGACTCATTACCCAACTAGATCACTTGTTTTCTGTCATGCCGTACCAATTAAAACTGAGATGGAACCTTATGAAACAATCAACAAAACAGTACGTCGGTACATCACACAAGAAATCTATTTAGTTAGACGGGCTGGTAATTTGCGGGAATGAACGTTAACGTTTCACGGATACAATTACTGTATTCATAGACGAAGTAGAGTACTTTGAGCTCTTCAACACAAACAACCTTCACAATCATGGCTCACCCCTTTGTTTTCAGTCAATTCCGTCGGTCTCCAAGCACTTCAGTCATAAATGTGTCCGTCCTCACCGATGATTGTGAACAGTTGAGCGAGACGTCGCGTTGGAGCAAACTTATGTGATTTGACCACCACTTCCCGTTTGGGAAAGTCACGTTACTGCGATTTCACGTGACTCTCGGCGAGCCCGCCACGACAAAGGAGCTCGCAAGTTTAAATGTCGGCAAAGAGCGCCGCCTATCTTATACAGTACCGTAATGTTGAAAACGTGCAAAATAAAACAATTGTCACATGGGACAATTCCAATGTGTACGAGAATGTTTTTTACGCAAAGCCGCCCGGGCATTTATGACAAATCCTTAATATCCTATTTAAATTCCATGGACAGAACGTATTAATGCTTTTTGCTCTTGGAAAACAACTGTTTTAAAAACGACCCCCCTTCCAGTGTTGTATATGCACGCACCATTTTCCCATTTGGTCTACGGAGGCGTGCTAGCTTCCGGTCGCAAGTCTTCATCTATAAAAAGTCTCAATTTCAGGGGACATTTCCACCTTGAAAAGCACTAGCTCTAAGCAATCCCTCGTTTTTCGCGGTTGATGGGTTAACCAGAAAAATCCCCCGTGAAAGGTGAAAACCGCAAGGTAGTAAGCAGTCGGAATTCTGAAGACTTTGGGCAGATGAAGTTGACAGGACAACAGCGCCTGAAATCGGATTGTCCACCCCAACTTCAAAAAAAAAAAAAAAAACGTCATAAACCACTGGACACTGTGAAAGAGCCATGCAATGAAATTTTGACAAAAGAGAGTTGTAGAAAAAAAAAATCATTTCATTTATGTTTTAAATGGTGGTGTTTGGGTCAGCAGAGGGCCTTGCTTCCACACCATCAAATAAATGCACAACCTCTTAAGTGCATACATGGCAATGGCGAGTGATGAAAAATGCGGAAGGGGCGTGGCATGGACGGGGCGTGGCCGGGACGGGGGCGTGGTTACTTACAAAAGTGGCACTAAACATGCTGAAGATGAAGTGTATTAAATTTACACAGTTTGAAAATTGAACAGAAAAAAATCCCAAGATCGCCACTATTCTTTCAAGTGAAAATTTGTGCAATTTTGCCTATGCATTCCTGGTGA